TTCGACTTTTAGTAAGAATTTCGACTTTCTGTAAGAGTTTCGGCTTTAATCTTAAAATTACTGAATAAGATAGGTGGCGCGAAGTGCCACCTATCGCACTAGTCAACTCTAAGCCATTTTTCATAATATTATGAATCATATCCATAATGTCATATATTATTATTATCATTTTTAATAGATAAAAAATTGTTACAGTAAAAACTGGTTCATAACAAGAAAAATGTGCATTTACATCACTCTCATGGATAATTCTACCAATAACTGAATTGGTAAATTTGAAATTTTAATGAAAAAATAAAATTTTTAGAAGTTGTTAGTCTGTGATTTTTATGATTAGAAGACCAGATTAATGGATTATATCCAGCAAGTATTTCATTCGTGCCATTAACTTTAATAGCAACTACGGTTCCAGGTATAATCTATGAAATGCTTCACAAGTAAATCCATCTCTGCTTCCTTTAAGAAGTACAATGTATTTTTTAACATCATATATTGGCGGAATCTCTGCAAAATGTTTATAATTGATAATAGACGATGGATTCATAAAGCAAACATCATGTACAGGAAGTTGAACAGGAATTTTTTTACGAGCAGGTAAAATAGTTAAAGAAATAGATGCATTAGGCTCCATAAACCTTGTTGTAATATCATCCAATAAGTCTGTTCCTGTTTTTTGATAAAGTTTACAATTTCTTCCCCAGACATTTGAAAATATCGAATTAAAGGAATAATTTGTCAACTGTAGTTTTCAAACCTAAAAAATCCTTTTAGTCAGTTGTTTGAAGTCAGAAGGTATGACTGGTGTGTGTGCTTTTCCTGTTGAATAATCTTATTTCAAATTTCATCAATTTATAAATCGATGCGATTAAATAACCTATTAACGCATCTTCATGAATAAAAGTAAACTTCATCAGAGTTAAACACCAAGTTATGATTTTTTGCAAGAATATCTGTGTATATAATTTTGTAAGGCTTAAAAATTGTTATCTTGAAAACAAATAGAATAAATTTTAATCGAAAACAGTGCCTTATTATCGACAAGACAAGACTAACTAACTCAACTAAACATAATTTGTTGGAAGATACTAAAAGATAAAATATAGTAGATGGTTCAACATATTCAAATGACAATAAATATATCTAATTTAAAAGATATTGACTAATAAATTTACCGTAAAAATGCTTTTAGTTCACTAAATATGAAGTTCACCAGGCATGCTACAGTATTTTTCAAAATAATAGTCCGTTATTGAAGCATAATTATAATTTTAAACTTTTGAGATAGCATCTTGCGATGATAAAATATACATATGTATATGTCGGTGAATTTTCAATCATAATTAAACTTAAAGCATTTACTTGATTAAAACTTTAAAAGCTTCAACAGAATTGTAAGTTAGAATGATGAATGATGATATATATTAAAGAATGTAACTTAAAAAATTTTGGTCTTCAACTTTAATTATAATTTTATAATCATATTCAGTTTCAAGGGGTTGTAATCATTAGAGAAACTCTCAAGTAACTTAATGCCTATTTGAGACATTTGAAAAAGGTTTAAATTGGATTGAATTTTGGTATTGAATTGGTATTTTTACTGATGGTAGTTTATTTAATAAGTTTTAACACCATACCATTAATATATCAGTTGTTTGACATTTGTTTCCTGAATATTATCCCATTTGTTTGACTCATTATATTTCAATTTGATGTTTTATGTATTTTTTTGTATTACATCCTACTTTGTAAATTTGGTACTATTTTATTGCATTGCACGTTTGTATGTACTAGCAGCTAATGCTTCTGTAGTTCTGATACAACTCCTCAAAAGTTTTTTGTCGAACTTTTATTTATAAAGTTTTTTGCGGATTGCGTTATTAACTTTAATTTTCTTGCCTTAGAATTTATTTCTTTCCGCACTTGATATTCTAGCTGCACTTTAAAAATGCATTTCTAGTGAATTTTTGGTTTATTATAACATTTAATGTTAATTCTTTCAGACCGGTCATAACAATATAAATATTATGTAATCTTTAATTAGTAAAAAAAAATTCAATACAGAAAATAAAACCTCAATAAAAAGTTATATATACCAACTTTAACCATCGGGACAAATAATTTCTGAACTTCATTGTCTTGGATTATTTCAATTAATTTATCATTATTGTTCTTGATTATTTGACAGATTTACATTCTATTAAACTCATTTCAATCGAAAAGAAGTTGGTAAAAAGGTTGATGTCTTGACGAAAATTTTATCGTTGCATTTTTTTTGTCATTGTTAGTTAATTATTTGAATAAGTTCTTGGTCTAATCCAGTTTTTTTTTGCCTACATCAATGGTTTAACTTCATCTGCCAAAAAAAGTCATAGTAATTTCGGCTTTACCTAAGGTCGATAATTCTTGTGATTATAATCTAATTCTAAAAATTTTTATCTAATTTTTTTAATCTACAAAGTGATTTAAAAATTCTATGCATATTAAAATACAATACATTAAAGGCTTCAAAACAAAGAAATGTTCGATTTATAAAAAGCGAAAGTATATTTTAGAAAGCTGATAAATATTAGGTAGTTATAGCCCTCAGAAAATATTCATTTGAAAATGCAATTTAATGAGTCAAATTGGTATGTCTACTGAATAGCATTTTTGAATGAGCATTCACTGAGGGCTATATTTGTCACTCCCTTATTGATACGTATGGGATTAATGTCTCTTACGTCCACAGCGATTCACGTGCTGGACTTATTTGATTTCACAAAAAAAAAAACAGTTAACTAGAAATTGAATGTTTATCTCAAAATTTCGGTTGATACATTAACTATTATAATATTATAGACTAAGTCAATAGTATGTATAATTGAGATTTACTCAGGTGTATCGCCCTTACTGTGGGTTTCTAGTTAGTAGATTAAAATAAAGATCTTAATACTATTAATATGATTTAGTAAAACCGATAAAATAGTTAAAAGCCTTTTTTTTAATATAAAATGTAGAACAAAAAACCATAGTCTACTTAATTAACTATATATTAAAATCACTGGAGTTATACAGTACAATTTCGATGCCAATTAAATACTTGTGTAATCATTGAATATACCATATCTTTCATTTAACAACAGGCCAAATACCTAGCCATATTAAAAAAAAAAACTTTTTTATTAATTTATCTCACGAAAATAGTATAAATTTGCAGAAATGATATTTTCGTCATCCTAAACGATAATATGATTCATGAATTAAACTTAACAAATTAACTCAGTTTCAGAAGTTAAATGCTAATTTATAAAAAATTATATTTCATATTATTATTTATTTTATTGATTTGCAAATTAAAAATTACATTATATGATAAATTCATTATTTATCCAAGTTCCTTATATATAAGAAGGGTTTAGAATATAATCGCTTAATACCAAATAAAAAGGTTATTTTCTGTGAATATGTTGTTAAAATCTACGTTAGAAGGTCATGTAAGTATATAAGACATAAGAGCTATGAATTTATTATTTTATTTTTGATGAAGATATAATTTCAACATATGTTCTAATATATTAGTCACAATGCATAATTGCAATTGGAAAGACTGGCAACGGAAAAAGCTTCACAGGAACTATTTTCGGTGCACAAGGTGCAAAAGTCGGAAATTCAGCACATTCAGTAACAACTGATGTTACAGTTTATGATCTTGGAAATGATAATTTCTACGTCGATACCCCAGGATTCGACGACTCTAACGAAAATAATAGTTATGATGAAACTGCGCGTTTGATTTTTCGTGCTCTTTTAGAGAAAAATGTTAGTAAAATAACAACAATTTTATGGTTTGTAACAACCGGTATCAGAGCAACAGCATCGTTTAAAAGAGAAGCAAAGTTTATAGAATCGCTAGCAAGCGATCATAATGGGAACGTTTGGGATAACACTATCATCATTACTAAGGGTGATAAGATTGAAACTGGTCCCCGAGAAGCAGCTAAGGAAATTGCAAAGAATACATATAATTTGAAAAAAGAAAAATATAATCAATTGCCAACTAATGAAGATGATTTGCTTGCAAAGACTAGTGATTTTGCGATTCAATTGTTTGAAAGGCTGCCGCCTACAAATGTTTATATTGATCTTAATCTTACAAGTTCACAATTAAACAAGTATAACATTTTTAAAGAATCTGAACCTGATCGAATTCTTACAAAGTATAACACATTAATTAAAGAGCATCCAACACATCCTATAAAAATCAATTTTAGAAAGGTCAAATGTTTAAATTGCCCTGAAGAAACTGATCCACGACTAGCAATTTCAGAGTGTCATTTAGAAGCCGAATCATTTCATCCAGTGACAATTAATACTCATTTATATAAAACCATACTTGCACACTCGAACATTCTCGATGAATATCATCCGGGTTATTTAATAACTTATCATCCTGGTTCACAAAAGTTTATGCACCCTGGCATGCCTGTTGATAGTCAATTAAATCTAAATCCTGGTCAATGTTTGATTCGTGCTGTTACATTTGGAATTATTAACCCTATGATTCCCGGATACTGGAAATGCTGCAGAAAACAATTGAACTCATCCGGATGTAAGAAAGTTTATTCTTGTTGCAAGAATAATACTGATGGTTGTAACCATAAGTATGAATGTTGTGGTAGAAGTCTTCACAGTAAAGGATGTAAAAAACAGTACCGTTGCTGCAATGGAACTTGCACAAGTGAAGGATGTCAATATATATATGACGTGTGCAAGCATAAAGCTGGAGAACAACCTTGTTGTACAGTTTGCAAAGACTGTGGTCAAACACTAGATAATAATGGTTGTAAAACAAGATGCAGAAATTGCAAAGGATCCCAGACCGAGAAAGGATGCATTAAAGCTGATCATAATTTTTGTTTTTAAGTGTAGAGCTTTCAATATTGCAATTTTTTTTTGTGATAACACGCTAAATTTTGATGTATTTTTTTTATATTCAGCGTAACAAATGTATGAAAAATTTTTCTTTAAAAATTATTAGTTGGCGGCGAAGCCGCCACATGATCATGTACTAATTCTATTTCATTTAAAATAAGTAAACTTAAAACCTCATAATTATAATTAAGTAAAAACATTATATTACAGTAATTATAAAATGCACCATAGGTATTGTTGGTGTTAATATGTTTTTGGCAAAATTTAGGGTTAGGGTGCAACTTCAGGGTAAGATAGGGTTAGATATAAAGGTCCAAATTTTAGTTAGCATAAGGTTTTTGGAGGTTCTGGACATTTTTACTTAATACCCCAGAGGTGTGTTAGATAGCAGCTATGGTGTTCAACACCTATGGTGCATTTAGTAAGCCCGTTGTATTATACTAATTTATAATGTTTATTATTAGAATTTGGCGGCGAAGCCGCCACATGTGCAAGTTTTAGTTATGATATAATAATTTAGTTAAATGATGTTCATGAAGGAACATTAACGTTACCACACATGATGCGAAATTAATTATAAAATTATTTATATTGAGTTCAATTTTGTAATGCATGTTATATATATAATCCCTCGACAGTTAAACTATATGTGTAACAACATTCCCTCCTGTTTCATAAAAGGTGAGTAAAGGAATTTTTCTTATTTACTAGGTTATACAAAGCTGATTGATTTTCATAACGTTCAGGTTTTAATGTAACTTCGATTTTAATTTTGGTATAATGATATAAAAATATATTACGGCATACCAGATGGTTTGTATTATCATTGCTAAAGCGACAAACTACATAATACTGAAGGTCGTTGAATTTTATTTTTTAAACCGTAGAAATATAAAGTTAATTGTGCAATAAATTGTGTACATCAATTTAAAAGAATAATCTTATATATTTGTTGTTAAAAAGTTAAATGATGTTATATACTACTAATAGTTAGTTGCATCTTTGCTGAGGTCCACCATACGGAATTTTTCTCCGGAAATTAATAAGTTGTTGTAACTACAGTCGCATTCCCATATAATCACACCATTGGGATTCATAAAAAGTGATATTATATAGAAGAAGACATACTTAGTATGTGCTATATTTAATAGTAGTTAATCCAAAAAATAAATATACTTATAAATATGATATGTAGGTGATTATATTGAAGTGCGACTGTAATTATTATTATTATTTTTTATTAACTCAAGATTTGAAAGCCCCATCACTTTTTCGACGTAAAGATATCATTTCTGCTATAATTACCGCGACAAAAACAGCAATAGTGATACTAACAATCGCAATAATAATCGGTTGAGGTGGATATGTAATTATAAGCATTGTGTCTATTATTATAGCTGCGACCAACGCTATAGAGCAATTAGTAATAATCATCATCTTATTATCCAGTAGTGATTGACGATTAATTTTTATAATTGCTACTGTAGTCGCAATAAACACCACATAAAAAGCAACGGTCGAAACAATAATCGGAAAAATTGGTTTATCTATTATAGGTATAGGACAAGTGTAGTCGGGTGTAAAAGTCGTTACCCATTCTAGGCGCGGCAGGCACAATAAATAAATGAAAGGATTAGTTTTAATAGATTCGGATTTATCATTAGTAATATTACCTTCATTATGTTTCAAGGGAAAAGATAATTTAGTTTTATTTATAATAATAATAATAAAAATAATAATAATAATAATAATAATAAGATAATCACCGAAGGCAATAATCATAAGGTTCTGATATAAATTTACAGTATGATATGCTAATGGAGGCGGTTGAATTCCAGAAGATTTTAATTCTGAATATTCATAAGATTCGGTTCTAATATCTAGCATTATAAAAACTGGATGTGGAGTAGTTGCCTTTATTGTATGGCCTATAAATAAATATTTGTTTAATACTAAATATATTTAAAAGCAAGCAGACTTTATTAATATTTACTTGAGGTTCCGCCTATAACAATAATTGCATTATTGTCTGGTGTTAAGGTTGCTGTATGGCCCACACGAGCCTCAATAGAAGTTCCTGCAGGTGTTGTTGCTTGCTGAATGTTTATATATTAAATTAGAAATAATGGATAATGGTAAGATATAATGGTAACCACTAAAAAATATAAATAAATACTTTGGATGACCAGGTTAAAGAATTTGTGTCGAATACTGAAATCTATATTAGAATTTTATTTACATAAAAATTAACAATAAAAATAATATGCATATTTTGAACAAGTATCATTCTGAAAATTTGAAAAATAAATACATCGTTCATTTCAATTGGCATCGTATCTTCTCCAGGTCGATCTTGATAAACACCTCCAATATAGAGTATTTTACCATTTGGAAGTAATGTCGCAGTACAATGACTTCGAGCAGAAGGAGCATTACTTGCACTAATTTTTTTCCATCCTGGTGTAATGGTATTATAAATATAGGTATCATTAAATAAAATAAGGTCAGGTGAGCCAGTATCATTTTCGGCTCTTCCTCCAAATAGATATATCTTTCCATCCTGACTTATTACTGTTGAGGATGATCTACGTCTAATTGTTGGTCCTCCATTAATATCAGGAATAAACCAAGTTTGTATAGTTGGTCGGTAAATAAAAATATTTAATTCTTTATTTCCATCAGTTACATTCCAAGTTTTAATTAACTCTTTTTGCATTAATGATTCCGTAAGAGTTTCATTACGATCTATTTGATCAAGGAGTTTAAGATCTTGTAATGTACCTCCAACGAGATACACATTATCTTTGTTAGCTCCACCTGACATTGCAGTTCCTAATGAATACATTAAATAATGTATAGAATAAATTCTAACACTTTGTCTAAACATGTAAATTTAATAATAACTAACCCTTTACGCTTCCATACGGCATTCGTGAAGTGCTATCGGAAAGATCAATAAATGGTGGGCTGACTGTAGAAAATGGCGACGTAAGATCCAAAGAAAAAACTTGATCTGATAAATTATAACCTCTTATTGAAAACTTTTTTTTTATTGGATTATCATCTGAAAGTCTACGAGAGCCACCCATAAAATAAATCTTATCTTTAACTATAGCAGATACATGACCACCTCTACCTTCTGGAGTAAAACTATTTACCCCAAAGATCATACATATAAAAATACATATGAATAATATAGACTCAGTTAAGGATTTCATTATTAAATTCTAAAGATTCGATTCTAAAGAGAATGTAGCGAGCATTGGTAGGTTTTATAAGAAGGCATTATATTAATTAGAATCAAATGAACGATACACGAGACCGGAACGGAATTTCTATTAGCAAATTAGTTAAATATTGCTCAAAATATAGTATTTACAAAGATAATATTGTACAGTAAATAACTTATTTTCAACAGCAAACAACTTTTTCAATGAAGCTACTTTTATGAAACTTCTTTTTCATAAACAGATTATAATTTTCGTGTATCTGTTCTGATTCGTGTCACGTACGTACGTACATCGCGCATATCACGTACGTACGTACATCACAAAATAAAGTATTTCAATGTTTGTACGATGTGTTATACAAATGATAATGTTGCAAGCTTGTGAAATTAAAATAAATATCATTGAAATTAATTCCTTGGATAATATGCAATTATATATTTTAATATAAAGTATATTTATGAACTAGGAAATAGAAACTATTGATGGTCCAAAATCGAGAAAGATGATCCACATTGCAACAACCAATCAAAATTTGTAATTTGCGCACACACACACACGCTCTATGACGTCCTTCGGACAAATTAATTTTTTAGCTTATCTAATATCTATATGCACTGGCGAGTTTGCCGAATCTTGCATTTGATTGGATAGCACGTTATATTTCATATTGGGTATTCTGTTAACTAAGTAAATAAAAATAATAATACTAAATCACACCAGTGGTGTTCAACACTACATATATTTTTAATAAGTTTGCTAGTACAATCTAAGGTTAAAGGGTCCTAAGTAATTAGGGTGAGGTTTGGGGTGCTATTTAGTTAGTTTTTGAAATATAGTGACTGTAATGTTTGTTGAATACTATTGATGTGATTTAGTAAAACCGTTAAACTATGTAAAAACTTTTTTTTTATATTAAATATAGAACAAAAAGCCATAATCTAATTAATAAGTACTAGTTATCAGTCGTGTCGTAGATGATAGCTTATTATTCATCTACTAAAGACTCGATTGATAACCTGGTTATCCTACATATCTGACGTAAGCACTGAATGATTTCTGTGTAACTTATTAGACCACCACCTAATAAATACTGTACGCAAATATTCAATCATCTCGTAAGAGGGGAATGAAATTTTGTATATTGTGACCGAATAAGTTACACGGAGAAAATGGCTCGATCGGCTTGTATATTCAGTATAATAAAAACCGATTAATCAATAGAGCCAATGAGCCAATTTCATCTCTAATTAAATCACCCATGGTCTTGTATTTTGAAAGTTCGCAGAATGCCACTAATTTGCCATAATATTTGACGCTTTTGACATTAAGACTAAAAATCCAAATTCTTATATTTGAATTTGTTTAATATGTTATCTGGGTATTTTGATAAGATATTTGACAAGATATATAATTGATATTTACATAGTTGTTATAACAATAAATTCAATTTTATACCTTAAGTCTGAAATCGGCATCAACATATCAAAAAATTTCGTGTTATGTTATTCAAGGTAATGTGAATATAAATTAGTAAACAGAAAATTAAAAAAGAACCAAGGCATATTTGTAACATATGTAATTTGTAACGATAAGTATACAATATTGTGCAGCCATGTTATTGACGACTGCACTTAAAATTCTCATATTTGTACAGTTTACGTCATTACTATTTTTACGTTTTTGTTTTATGGCTTAAAATTTAACGACGATTTCATGTTAAAAAAAGGGGGAATGTAAGAAAAGTTTAAATTGATGACATAAACTACACAAATGAAGTCATTCACAATAACTATAAATCATTAGGCATTTTTAGGGCGATTTCAAGGAGCATACGTTCATTCGATTGATAGAATAGGAGCGAAGTCACTTTCTACTTTCTCCGAAATCTCGGTGTATGCATTATAGATCTGGTGCATACAATGCATTATAAAATGCATAATAATGCCTAATACTGCTAAAGATATGATAAATATGGCTACGGCAACACATATGTACGACATCTTAATGATGATATAAATATGGAATTGAGATTCATAGGTACGTACGTACAGTACGTTACGAGTGCAGGCGTAAAAATTTGTGTATTGACATTTTGTGTAAAGCATGTATTTTTACGTATTTCTCAGTGCTTGTTCCCTAGTGTTTGTATACCTGAGTCAAATTACATAATATAAAGTAGGTTAGTAAACAAAAAGTATAACGATAATAAAAATGGTAAAAATATATATAAAAAAAGAAAAGTTTACTTTTGTGCCATCGAAATATCTTTATAGAATTAAATAAACAAATATTTTTATTTACTGTGCTTCAGAATATCTTTATAGAATTTTACAAATAAGTATTTTCATTTACTATGCCTTAAAAATATTTTTATAAACTTACTAGATTTCGTTTAATTAGGCATTTTATAGAAATTTGATTCTTTTAACTTATAAAGTATTGATTTTTTAATTAGATAAATAATAAACGTCATTACTGTAATACTGTAATATTCAATGATAATCAGAATAGATCATAGAAGTCCATAGATATTGATTCACAAATTCTGTGTCTTCGCTACAGATGGTACTGTCTGTAGTTCAGATATGTTATAGTTACAATATATCATAAAGCTAAATTGTAATTAGCATTTTATTATAAATACCATCGCGGCTTCTTCACTATCAAGATATTTCATATATACAAATTTTCGTTAAGCAAATACGATATTCAGAGGGTTAATTTTAACGAACCATGCATCAAATAAAAGATTCCTTCATGATGATAACACTGTTATTATTCTTTCAAGTAAGAAGAATAATAAAATTATAAAATGAATTTTATTATAATATTTACAATGGCTATAAATATCATTTAGCTTCTTTTTGCAATAAATATTCATGCAAATTCTGCAACTATCACCATTCCTGCGAATGGTACCTGGTGGGTTTGGTCTGACGATCTAGCAACTAGTAATGGTAAGCGTTCATCATGAATTATAAATAATAAAAATTTTTGACTAAACTTGAACTGATGTTATAGGGGCAAATTTGACATTTGTGAATGATTCTACCGTACTCGACAATAAATGTGGTGCTATTCTCACTATTCCAATTAACGAATCATCACCAATGATTAAATCCTCTTCTGGTTCTCCTGCAATATTTATATTGCATACTTGGATATTTAATAACAAAGCTACACCATTGCTCAATCCAAATATGTTTGCTACCACTTCAGCAGTAGGAATTACAAATTGTTCATCTCTTCCATGTGGAACTGCGACACTATCTGGGGGCTTACAATATTGTGTTTTTGCGGTCAAGAATAACAATACTTTGCCAAGCAAGGTTAGAATTGATGTTCCATGGAATATCGAATGTAATACTACATCATCGTAGACAGTGTAGAGCATATTATAACCAACAGGAAATAGCACACCATCATCAATAAAATCAGCTGCATCAAAAGTCACTGTCAGGATTGTTAGCATCAATATGGCATACTATTTCTGAAGTTGCTTTAATTTTATAATATAAAAATTAATCTTTGATTTGTATCATAAATATTATACAATCTATGTATTATTATTTGTGCGTGAGAGAATCTGTAATGGGTAAAAAAAAAATAAAATAAAATATGATATCAATAGTTTATTATATTATATATTTTTAAACTTTTATTAAAAATTGGAACTGCTTAAAATTTTTCTAATTGTTTAACTGTGTTAATCGCTTAATTTAATCAGCATTAAGTTCATAAACAATATAATTGACCGGAATAATAGAACAATTTTTATGTGATTAAACAGTCTCAATTCTTAACTTTTATTAATTGAATTAGTAACTTTTTGTCAAAGAGTATAATTCTACGAAAATATGAAAAACTTCAACATTTAAGTTGTATCATATAAGATAATTATAAATTATGTTGATTAAGTTTATCAAGATAATTGCCAAATTTAATTAATGTTCGTTCAACTTCATGTTTGATTGACGATTTCCATACATTAACGTTTAACATTGCCCATAGTATCCCATAAAATAATACACACATTATTAAGACCCGGTACTATTCACTATACTATCAGCCTAATTCTTGAATATTTATACTAGTTCTTTATGTTTATATAAGATGTATCCAAATACAGTTCTACATAATGTACCCGCGGCTACTAATCAATTTAAACAAATGGAGGTTTTGAATAAGACCACGGGTACTAAGGCAGTGTTAAACAGTAATACCTAAGAGTTCATTAAACTTGCTTTTTAATATATAGTATATCAACACTGAATTTTCAAGACCTGAAATACTTTCTTTTCTTATCGAGTTCAAAGAAATTTGTTCATTAGGAGTGCGACATCAGAAGAAAGGATCAAGACGAGCTTTCACAGTGCTGCTTTTTTTTATAAGAACTGCATTCATCATGTTAAAAGATACTAACATCGTAATGTTATTTTGAAAATGAAATAGCATATACTGTCTCCAAATAACGTGTCCCGAAATAATGTACATTTTAATACAACATGTCAGTTTAGCTAAAATTCGTGTGACCCGTGTCTATAGTACAACTTTCCAGTCTACCCATCCCTTAGATTGATTCTTTATTCGTTGATTCGTCATTCTACGTATTGTCTTACAAATTTATTTGGAGAGTGGTTATCACAGTCGGTGGTATGATATTGTATCTCGTTACGGACTGTAATGATTAATGCAATAAGTTAAAGATGTTACATAAATTAAATAAGAGTGATTTATGTGGCCGTGAAGAGCTTCATGATGAGGAAATAGTATAAATTCGAGAATTCAATAAGATATAAGCTAGTCTTTTACTTCTACTTTAAAATTGCCTATGTTTGTGTTTGTGAAATGGGTCAAAGTCTAAAGTGCTTTATTAGAGTCAAAACATGGGTTTTTAAATACATATCGTGTAACATGACTCCAATACAACTAAATAGTGCAATATGCAACGCAACACTACTAAAATAATATCTAACATAATAATATTTCAAGAGTAAAAATTAGGAATTATTAAAGCAATCAAGTAAATATTAGAAAGTTTTCTAAAGGAAAAGAAAATATGGTTAAATTTTCTCATTATAAAAATTTGTTATATAAATTATATTCTACAAATAATGACAGTTATTCGAATATAATAACACAATAATAATTTTATTAAAGTACAATTGACGCAATAGACTTGGTGTAATTTTGCAGGACACTAAGAAGAAATCGATGCAGAAAGAAATGGTTAAGCTAGAGAGTCTTTACAGGGGAAAGGGAAGAAATTTGATTATTAAAAGCCTAGAAGTGTTAATTTTAAACGTATTTATTTAGAAGCCAAGTCGGTAAAAGGTGTTACAATGTATACGTGATCGCACCAAAAGAAATAAATGAACGTTACACAATGCACATACATATCTTCAATAAAATTGATGCTTCTATGTGTGACATATTCTTTCATTGCGCCAAAATGTCAATTCCAAAACGATCAGAAACAAACGACAACCCATCAGATGTTACTAAAATATCCGACGAAGTTAACCAATTGTGTTTAGAAGATAAATCACAGAATTTTCTCTATGAAATTATTAAAGAAATGTATAGTCTATTTAATGTTGAAAGTTTAAAAGGAAGAAATGGACGTTCAATTCTAAACGACTTAGAACAATTTCTAATAAAAAAAAAAGCAAAATCCGGATAATATAATCAAATATTGCTTAGATAATCAATTCGACCCTAGGGCTCAATTCATTCTCGCACTTTGTTATAATTATGGTAAATGGGTTGAAAAGGATTATCATAAGGCATTCATTTATTATCAAAAATCTGCAGAGATGGGCGATGCCAATGGAATAAGAATTGTCGGAGGTTGTTATCGACTTGGAGTTGGAGTTGTAAAGGATGAACGTAAGGCATTCATTTATTATCGAAAATCTGCTGATATGGGAAATATTTCTGCAATAAATCAAGTTGGATATTGTTATGAAAAAGGAGTTGGAGTTGAGGAGGATGAACATAATGCATTCATTTATTATCAAAAATCTGCAGAGATGGGTCTCCCTAGGGGGATACATAATGTTGGAATTTATTATCATTATGGAATTGGAGTCGAAAAGGATGAACAAAAGGCCTTTGAATATTATTTACAAAGTGCAGAATATGGAGATTGTTGTGGAATGTATCAAGTTGGTCAGTGTTATCAGAACGGGATAGGAGTAGAAAGCGATAAAGATTTGGCATTTGAATGGTTTTTAAAATCAGCTATTGCTCAACATAATTGTAATTTTTATAACCATTTCCGATGGATAGAATACGAAAATTTTCGAAACATTGAAGAAGTAGGTAGAGGTGGATTTTGCGTAGTGTGTAAAACATCATATGAGACATCATATGAAACAGATAAAGAAGTTGCAATCAAAATAATGAAAGATTCGCATAAAAATAATAAAATTTTTTTAAACAAGGTATATTATTTTCTTATGCACGTAAATTTATATTATTGCTTAAAATTAATTGTATATAAATTATCTATTTTTAGTTAAAGGCTTATCATGAGTTTGGGAAATATTTTGGCATATCCATGGATAAAAGTAGCGGAGATTTTATTTTAGTGACAAGTTACGCAAAATTCGGATCATTACGAGAAAATCTTAAAGATATATTTAAATTAGAGTGGAAAATCAAACTAAAATTATTAAGTGATATTGTTAATGATCTATCAAATATTCATTCTAAAAACTTTATACA